GGGGTGGTCTGGGCGCAGAGGCCAGTCACAGCACCGCAGGCTGCTTTGGCAGCGCCTGCTCGGGCCTGGAAGAGATCTCCCTGAGAGGGAGAACCTCTCAGCCAGCGGCGTTTCTCTGAGCACGGGGGTTTGCCACTCAGGCAGCGAGCTTCCCCCGGCCCTGCGGCCCCGCCGGCGAGCCCGGGCCTATCAGTCACTGGCAGGAGGTCCCATCTCCTCTTCTGAGAGACTCCCTCTAGAGCGCCCTTTCAAAGCCGAGGCGCAGCCGAGCCACTTTGATTAACCATATTAAATCATTAAATTAACTTTTCCTGAGATATTCATCTGGCGAGCATAAAAGACTAAAAGGTGAAAAGTAATTATAAACACGTGTCAAGGGAAGGAGGGAACATTCAGGGCAGCCAGAGGGGAAGCCTTCGACAACAATTTTCTCGTTATCACGTGTGCAGCCACAACTTCAGCACTTGGCTATTGCGGCAATGACACAGGCAGGATGAACTGAAAAAAACCATACAAAATTAAAAGAGGAGTCTGTAATAGGAATACCAAATGTTTGTGAATTCTTTTGCAGCATATTTTATTTAAATATTATTTGCAGCTTTTGCTAGCCTTCTTCACTGCCCGTAATTGGGAGCTGGTAAAATTGGATCTCCTGAATTCTACAATGAGAGCAATCTGAATTATAAAATGTTTTTCTTGTACGTGCTTGACAAGAGAAGCATCAGAGGATTGTGATCAGTGGCACAAAACCCGGTTAGAGGCAAGACAGCTGTGGTGTACCCCAGGGGTTGATACCAGGGTCAATACTGTTCAACATCTTCATTAATGACCTTGATGATGGGAGAAGGGTGCACCCTCAGCAAGTTTGTGGATGATACAAAAAGGCCGCCAAGATGATAAAGGGACTGGAGCATGCCTCTTATGAGGAGAGGCTGAGAGAGCTGGGACTGATCAGCCCAGAAGAGAGAAGGCTCAGGGTGATCTATCAATGTGTATAAATACCTGATGGGAAGGAACAAAAAAGAAGGAGCCAGACTCTTCTCAGTAGTGCCCAGTGACAGGACAAGAGTCAATGGGCACAAACTGCAATACATGAAATTCCACCTGAACACAAGAAACCACTTTTTTATTGTGAGGGTGGTCAAACACTGGAACAGGCTTCCCATAGAGGAATATCTCCATCTGTGGAGATATTCAAAACTCGACTGGACATGGTCCTGGGAAACCTGCTCCAGCTGACCTTGCTTGAGCTGGGGGGGATGGACTAGATGATCTCAAGAGGTCCCTTCCAACCCCAACGATCCTGTGATTCTATGATATTCTGGATTCCAAAGGAAAGTAGAAGCAAAAGCAGCTCATAAACCACACTGAAACAGCGTGTTCTAAAGCTTCTTTCGTTTGTTTAAATACTGATTCTAATTTATATTCCAAATTTTGATGGCAGCATAGTAACAGCATGTGGAATGCACTGGAATGCAGAGTAAAGCAACCCAGCCTTTAGGAAAAAAATTCTTTGATGTGATGGCCCTATACTTCCTTTATTACTCTGCTGAGTGTGACTGGCTGTATCCAAAGCGTATCAATGTTATTACATGTTTTTTTGAAGGCAAGATGGGCTAGCACAGTATTCCCTGAACCCCCAAAATTTACACTCTAACTTTATACTTTCATCCTAGAATACAGATCCTGAACACCATGTTGAAATATACTACCTTATCCAATAAACTCCTGGTTCAACAGTTAGAACCTCATTTTAAGGATTTAAATCTGCTGAATATTCCTTTCTTGGATGAAAGTGAAAAAACAGTTTGACATTTTGAGGGTTACAAGGGTCAGATTTTGAAAGATTTTGGTTTCTGAGGAATCAGAAATAGGCATTTGAGACTGTGGGATTATGCTCATTTAAAGACCTGCTTTACCTTTAATATTTAGCTCAGCTTTTCTTCTGACAAGGGTACAACAGGTTCTTCTGAATTTGACACACACAGGACAGCCTTCTGGGAAATGGATAACGCTATTAATAATTTTTTGTTACTGTGCCCCAGTTATGACTCAGGACGCTACTGCACAGAACAGATCATGGTAATTGTTCAAAAGAATTTACAGGCTAAGTATAAAACAAAACACAACAGATGGGTATAAAAAGGTGCAAGGAAAAAAAATAAGGTAAAGGGGGTTGTCAGTGCCCTCAGATGATATATTTGCAAGCAGCAGATTAAGTGGTGCCTAGGCTTAATAGTGAATGAAAATTTGAAGGAGGGAGTGGAAAAATACCAGAGTTGCTTCATCAGCGATCCCACTGAGAGCTGTGGTGCTTTCCTCTCTCCTGTTGCATTAGCAAGCCTGGCTGTTGGGGTTACTGTAGCATCTTCTGATGGAATGCAACAAAGGAATTTCCAAAGAAATTTCCCTGAAATCAGGGAGAAAATAAGCAAAATATCCCTTCTCAGCAAACTCAAAGGAAAAGTAAGTAAGCACAGCATCTTCTGGTGGGGTTCTGTGTTTATGTTAACTTTTGATTAACCAGGAAAGATGATTCAGCAGGGAAAGCTACTCCTTTTCTTGGGAGTCTCACATTTGTGGGTAACCATTTCTCAGTGTCCACAGACTAGTCCATCTGCGTAGGCTTCACTGAAATCAACGGGCTGAAGGTAAAATCATTTCAAGATCAATGATTTAATTTTTCACTTGTCTCAGCTCTGACCTCACCATGAGGACATTAATTACATATTTCATACAATGCCAAAACTGGAAAATACGTAACTAAACTATTGGGCAGCAGTTATGAATAACAAAAGGAAGCACTACTTCTACACACACAAAACTGAATTGGAAAACTTACTGCCATAGCAAGTTACAGAAGCCAAAAGCATAAGTGTATTAAAAGAAGAAAGACAATTCTACCACAGACCATTAAGCATGATGGTCCAGATGCAACTTTCAGCTCAGGAATTCCACAAACTACCAGCTGAATTTGTATTAACAGGAAGACTCACTCTATGCTTAGCACATTTCTTACATTTTCTCCTAAGCATCTGCAATGTGACATTGTCAGAGAGGTCAATGGTTGAATACAGCCATTCTTAAGTTCTCCGGGTCATTTTATTTTGCAGTATTCAACAGCTATCTGCTATAATAGACTAAAGAACTGGGATCCATTTACTATCTCCATTTAATATAAAGGAACGTCTTATTCTTCTGCCTCCTGAAAGCTGCATGCAGATAACCTCTTACCTGCCCAGCCTGGTGTAGACATTTTCATAACCCTGACACATAACCATGGCATAATGCAAACAAATTTAAACAAAATTTTGGTTCTGACCATCAGCTGTGAATAAGCTATCTAATCCATATGCTTCTAATATGGTCTTTAATTTCTACTAATATAATTTGTATTGCTTTACAGCAAGAGTATTCAAATCAACAAGTTCATCAAAGAAATCACAGGAAGAACAGAAAACCCATGCAGTTTTGGTATTGTAAGCACATTAATCACAAATAGTCAAGAGATTTCAAACTGAAGAAAATAAAATATGTGCATGTTTGCTCTTGAAAATGTATACATACATTATGGCAGAGAAACAACACAAAACATATACACTTACGTAAAAACACTAAGCACGTATTACCTGGGCTTCAGGAAAGCAGCAATAATATACTGCCTGAGGGTTAAGGCACTTTCTAAGACTGTTATATTGCCCAAAGCTGAGCCAAACCAAAGCATCAGCTTTGAGCACTATGTCATTAGGACTTTTTAAATTGTTACAAATATATAATTAATTTTAGAGAGTATATAAACAAATGTCTTGGTCACAGTTTGCTACAGTGAAAGTAAGACTTTGTACTATTGCCCCATTTAGTCATAACATAATTCAGACTGTTGTCCGTAACGTGCTCCTTCCCAGGCAACTTTGTAGCAGCCAGCAAAGGCTTCCTGTTAACAAAGAGCAGAAAGCCAGATCCACACTATCCTCACAGGAAGAGAGGTCCCAAAATGTTCTTTATGTAGCAGAAAGATAGTCCAGTGTTTCTTCCTAAAAACATCTGCCTCCTATGGGTAAAAAGACCTAGACTCCAGAAAACATCACAAGTGCAATGGTTCCTATAGCTCCTGTCCACAACCCACAGCTCAACAATGACCAAACCCCATAAACCCCAGGCCCCAAATTCCTTCATTCCATAATAACCTATCTCCACATCCCAGTGGTATCAAGCAAAGCATCTGATTAACATAAATGTATGCTAGGTCCTGCTGAAATCAGTTAGGTGTATATGATCAACATTAGGCAAGTATATCAAGTGCTTTCATGCACCAGGTCAAATAGTATCTTACGCGACCCACATGTAGAGTTCATTTAGGTGAACTGGATGTAACAACAGGGGAGGGGGGAAAAAAATCACATATACTAACCAAAAAACAAACAAACAAAAAGCATTCTTCCTCAAAGCATTAATAGGGTTGGGAAGGAATACCTTAAATAAAACTACTTTTTAGTATTTGAGTTGTATCTTAATTTCTATTGTTCTTTGAAGTCAGCACATTGCTATGTATGTGGATGCTGACACCAAATACTACCCTTCCAAACATTATATGTGCTGTGTATATACAAAAATAGACAAGGAATACTTTATAGCTCAACAAAAGGAGGTGTAAGCATCCCATTATTAGGTGTGCCTAAAAAATGGTACTTAACAACATTTACCTGTGAGCATACTAGTGTCAGCAAGCTCAGCACTAGTGATGGGTACATTGGGACCATCCTCTTCATATGCTTTCAAAATGTAGTTCTCAATTACACCTATGACCCCAGCAGGTTTGTCCCAGGTGACCTCAATGCTGTAACCATTTATACTGTGAACTCTTGAGGGAGTTGTCACATTTTGTGGAACTGTAGAAGGATAAAATAGAAAATAGAGAAAATGGCAGTTATGAGGAGACTATTGCCCCTATTCTTCACTTTTAATGGCTGCAGTAAATCAGACTCAACCATTAGCATAAATACAATTTATTAGAGTTGTAACTTTTCAGCATTGATTTAATATGACTGCACATCTTGAGCTATTCAGTTTAAGCTATATTTCAAAACCATCAAAACTCCATCTACATAACATTCCTTCTTGTCTTGTTGCGATTTTCCAAAAACATTTAATGTATCAAACATATTTAAGCATCACTCATAAAGAGAGGAGGGGGATTGTATGTAGCTAACAAGTTCAGGCATTATAATCATACAACTGAATGAAGCAAGACAGTGTTGTAACAGAAGGGTTTGATATTTATCTGTTGGATACCTAAGCCTCAGAATGCCACAACTATGAAACATTTCTAAAAATGTGCATTCTCATTTACAAAAGTACATCAGAAAGTTTAAGCTTTTCCATTTATTTTCATATTTCCACAATGCCATACAAGTGTCTCAGGGCAAAGCAGAGATTTGTAAGGCCTTTTTGCAAAATCCTTTGCTTCTGATCATTCCATATTATAAAAAGAAAAAAAGGGAAAAAAAAAAAAGAAAATGAAGATGTTTAAAAGAACTGGAAAGCCAAGCTCATATATGCATACAGTTGCTAATAAAAAAAATCATCCAATTTCTCATAACCTTTAACTATTTATTAGATATTACTATACCAAGTAAAGGTCTGGCCAGTAACAACTTCATCACAGATGACTGCACAAGGGATGCAGAGGAAAGGCCCAAGGAACACTATGGCAGGATGATGGATGATGAGTTTGCTGTAAATGCATGTGGACTCCCAAGCCTTGTTGATGATCATTCACTTTTCTCACCATCAAATAACCTCTTTTTTTTGTAATTTTATTGTTTAGTTTCATTAAATATGAATGCAGCCTTGTTTTTTATAAGAAGGATACCAGAATGGAAAGTATAAAAATACGTGTAAGTTGTGATTCTTGTGTAAAGTAAGAATGTGATACTCTAGGAAAGCTTCAGTTACTACAGTAATATATTGATTTTATTAGTTCTGAAGTGTATCACAGGACAAGGTAAGGTACTGTATAGCAGATGGTCTTCTCATAAGGGACATAACAAAACCAACTCAAAAATAATTAAATAGCGCAATTATTCTCCAACCCCGGGGAACATGTTGCTGCTCAATGCTGTGGTCAGCTTGCAAACATAGATTTATGGTAAACCTTACAGTTGTCAGACAGTCGATATGAAAATATGGTGGTGGTACACAAAATAATGACAGTAAGTTGCATAGGAATGCATTTGCAAGTCCAACATTTACACAGGTACCGTATCATTTTTTAAGATCATACATTGAATATCTTGCATCAAAAGAATTCTCTGCATTCATGGAATGCAATTAGGCTTCAATTTACAGAAGAGGGAAACTTGGTTAAATAAATTATGCAGAACTGTAGATCTTCAAAAACTTGCTGGCTCAATAAAGTTTGCAAAAACACTGAACAGAAAAGGAAAGGTCCTTTAAATTTTCTTCCTAAAATATATGAAAAATTTTATCTTTAAGGCTCAAGCAGGTATTACGTTCCCACTTTGCAACCTTCTCCACAAGCCACACTCTGCTTTTCTAGTAAATATTGCCACATTGTCACACACAATCTATGGGCTACTTGTTAAAAGAATCCTCATTCAGCATCACTGAGCAGCATACCCATGTGCAGGTAATGTAAAGAAAAACTTTCGCAAGACCCCCCTCTCCCTAACAACTACATGGCCTCTTATCTTCCACATCTTGTGCCTGCTGTCCCAGTATCTCCTTTCTTCTCTACATTTCATTTTGTATTATGCAGCTATACATAGGAAAACACATATTTACTTACTCCAGCGGACTCCTGTAACGTGAGGTTAGATGTGCGTGTATGAACATACCTAGATGTATGGCTGTTCTCACTCAGTTAATGCAGTTCAATCCTTTCACATTTTTTGCTCTCACACAATTACATAATCTAATACATATTTGGAAGAGACTTTGAATTCTGTGTGGAAAATACTTGCCCGAACATTTCAGAGCTGAAGATACTGATTTCGTACCTATTCAAAGCATTAAGCAGTTTTGCTCCTACAGGAACACTATACAGCTTACACTACTCAAAATTGTTGGGGTGGGATTTTCTCCAACCTGACATTAAATAGCTAATGAAAAATGGGAATAAGTAAGCCTTAAAACTATACTTACCTGATTCTCTTGTACGAACACGGGTCCATACACTAGATACTGACCCTCCTTCATTTGAGGCAACCACCCTATAAAGGTATTCTTCAAAGAACACAGAGAAGGATAGAGGAGGAAAAAAAAATAATCACTGAACATGATAATACATTAATACAGAATGAAATAAAAATGATGTATTTCATTTAAGGAACCAATGTGTTACCTGTAAATGGTTGTAGACCACTCTCATAAACACTCTGCTCTTTTCCTCGGTATACTGGGATAGAGTCATTTCCCCTGCAGTTAACAGCAGTGTCAGTTGATAGGCATCCATCCAGATTGACTCTGACAGCACTGCTGGACACAGATGCCAAGTTAACGACAGCACCTTGTGTAAATTTAACATCCTTCATGCAACCACCGAAACCTAGCAAACAGTAAGGGGTTAGTGTTACATAAAGAGCTTCAGTCATTAATTAAGAATCACTTTTGTTCCTTTCAATTCTGTATTTTCAGCATTAAAGACTGTAATGTGGATATGTTAACTTCCAACATGACATTCAGTCCCCCCTTTCAAGATACTAAGCTGGTAAAAATTCCTGGTATTCTAGTGTTGAGTTCCTGCCTTACTGAACTACACTTTCATTGTTATCAATTCCATCCCACGAGGAAATAGCTTTCTGTTTTCTCTTCTGTCACTTCTCTCTTTAAAATTATTACCATAAAGTGACTCTGAATTTGTAAATCAGCTTTCTGCTGCTTGCTAATATTTTGTTAATATACACTCTTCCTCAAACTGAGAACATCGTATAGATTAAATATATCAGGAGATCACAGAGGTATATCAGTTTATCCTAACTGGGATATAACTGGTATGCCGTTTACAAACATACTCTAGAAACATAATCCCAAACTGTTCATTTATGAGAAAAAAATTAAGTAACATCATTTTATATTTATTTCTCTGTGTATGTATAACATTCCTATATACATAACGTATATATACACATATATATGTAATGTATAACATTACAAATATGTTAAATTAGTTACTAGCAGTAAACACACCACTACAAAATTTCAGGATGCAGTTGTTCAAATTTCTATATACTTCTATGACTTATTTACAAAGAAATTAATAAATTGATACCAAATAGTTCTCAGATCTGAGTAAAGTACAGTGATTGGTGTTTAATGTAAACCCAAAGTAAACAGTAACCAAACTGAAGACTTCAGTTAATTGAAGAATTAACTTTGTAAATTAAAAATGAGCCTGAGATCAGTGCTTTTTTTTAGCTTTGTGAAAACATCATATTTATATCTTATGTACTTTTATTGCTTTTATTACTGCAAGATGGCAGGTCAGCGTAGTATTTGTACTTAGCCACGTGATCTGAGAATCTAATATCCATACGTATTTCATGCAAAAAGAAAGGGGCACTAAAGGTGGACACCCATTTTGAATCATCCTCTAAAACATCTTCTCTCCCCACAACGCTAGGAATTCAGACAAACTGCCCCTTAAAATGAATACATCCTAATTTAAGCTCAACTCCTACTCCACAGCAATATGCTCAGTGAGCAAAACAATATTCCTTTATTCAAAATTAAATACCAAGCAGCTATTAATTGAGAAAACCTTTTGTAAATACTTATTAAACTGGGAAGGTCTCCATATTCTATTATCATACCATTACATCATTATAGTCCTAAATAAAAATATGTCTCAAAGCTGTAGTGCCTAATCTTGCTCATCTGAATCTACGGTTAGGAACACACAAAAATGTTTTTATCTTCAGACGCTCTGAATATAAATTCACAGCCACCATCTTATTTTGCAGTGTGCTGAGGAGGCTCAGTGAAAAAAGTAATATTTATTGATGTGCCTCAATATGCACTTCAGACATTCAGTTTAGGCATGATTTTGCCCTAGATTCTTTGTTCACAGATCTCTCTGCTGCAGGAGTTGCGAATGCATCCACTCACGAGGCTATACCATCTGCTATGAGGCAACACTTACAGGGTATGACTGGCTAGCTCTTTTGGGCCATAAATATTATGCGCACAGAACCTGGAGGAAGATTATAATATATGTGATACCTACAAGCTGGAAAAATACTTAAAACAATATTTTTGAGCTATCTGTGAACGCCAGTGCATGGATTTGATTCAAACTATTCTATAGCTGTGAAATCACAAGGCTTCAATGGAGCTCTGCAGAGCTTACTTGAATGCACGCATTCAATGTGAGCTCATGCATTGAAAGCCACTTACTAGATTCCCCACTAATCACTTACGACTGCTACTTATTTGCCCACAGTATCTGAAAAGTACACCATGACTGGTGAATAGCTTCATAAGTAATGAAAAAACACACCCAAACTCTAAACAGAGCTAGTTTAATAGACACTTTTTGACTACATTTCATACAATAGATCCTTGGAGGCCATTAGTATCAGGCTGTAATTAATGCTTCTCTCTTTTCCCTAGAAATTTGACCTGTTCCAGAACAGAAGGGTCACAGTGATGGCTAAAAACATGACCGTCTCCCCTCCTCCTGATAACATGGAAATATCATGGTGACGTAGCCAAAATCCAAATTCAGGGTTTTATACGCACTTAATTTTTTAGACCAGAATCAGTATTGCCTAAAAAAGGACTAATAAACTCTCAACAATTCTTCCATGTGGCAGCATCCAGCCGCATTACAGTGATTTAAGCTATGTTTACTGTCTTCCACTGGTTTTGTATTCCAGATCTGTGAGTGACACAAGTCGATCAAATGAAACAAGTTTATCTGAACGGGCTTTCTCTGATGAAGATTTGAGATCTTCCGGTTGGGCATCTCGGATTACCATTTGCTACTCTCCGGTTCCTCTCCTATGAGTTAGATTGCTTCAGATATCACTGGGTTGGAAGAATTTTTATAGCATTACAAAAGGATGAGGACTAAGTAAAGCTAGATGGGTAGGGATAACTGGTAGTTAAAACAACACTGGGTGGGAGGAAAAATTCATGTTACATATTCATCAATTTACGGTACCAACAGCAGAATGTCCACCTTGTGCATGACACAAGTTTTTGAAAAACATATGTTCTTCCTGGTGTCATCTTACCTTGTTCTAACCCCAGTTCTTTATAAAAATTCTGAATCTCACGTGGGATTCCTCCTACGTAGACAGGAGAGTTTACTTTCAGCTGCTGAATACCGGGTTCGAGTGTCTGCTCTCTCAGTTCATTCATACTCGCTGAAACTATGGAGCCCTCCTTGTTCACTGTGACTTTGTTCCACTTGCCATCACAATAAGACAGTCCTAACCAGACATCCACTTGTGTAAAGACAATGCCAGTTTTTAAAAAGATGTTTAATATTCCACTTTTCAGTTCAATCTATATATTTTAAAACAGAAAAAAGATTTCGAAAGAGACATCACATACACAGCAACAACAGACACAGTTATTTTAAAAAAATAATCAAGGGAGTCAATGAACAAGATCAATGAACAAGACGTTTTTATCTTCAGGATAGCAGAAATTACAATAATAATTCAGAATGTTGGAAAATATATTCTGATTTTTTGACTGACTTTGGCACTAATGTAACTAAGTAAAAAGAAAAGACAATGAACCAGGACTGTTTTGCTTTTTTTGAGAATGAGAAAACAGTATTTTATCTATCAATTCATTTTTTAGAAGAATGTAACGAGATAATAAGGAAATGAAATGTCAGACCTGATTAAGGTGAACTCAATTTCAAATTTTTCCAGCATACATTGATTCTGTGTTTCATCCTTATTCTTCTAAATCTTGTAAGAAAGTAATTGTTTTTGCATGTGCTTTTTGAGATTAATGTGCCAATTCGTTAATAGAAATACATTTTACCTAAATTTTCACTGCAGAAGTTTCCAAATGCTTTACTGCAAGACTCTTTATCCTGGCTGAATGGAACACAAGTGGGCTGAGACTGTAAATTGGCAGGTATAGAGCACTAAACACTTAGGTGATGAACTGGTGGTTGAAAAATATGGATACATTCACAAAAAGGCATTACTGTTTCCATGCCAAAATCTTAAGTGAAATAAAAAAGCCAAATTTAATATAAATGCTTATCACCAGTATTGACAAACTGACATATTTAGGTTACTGATAATATTAATATTGCAGTATTGGTAAATGGATTGTGTTTCCTTAACAGAGACCCCAACTGAAGAAAGAACTCAGTACTTGGGATGTCATGGGCAATACAGGTCCTGTCCCAGAGTGCACACTGACTGCTTGCTCATGAGACAGAGGGATTTTGTTTATTTGTTTCTTTGGGACCACAACTTTTCCTATTTCCGTGAGTTCCTAACCCTTCGTAGCTAAGGACTCTACAATAACAAGTGAAAGACAGATCACGGCATCGAGGCTGATGAGCATAGCTTGAAAAAGCAGTCCATTGGACAAGTCACCGTTTTTCTTCACAGATGAGAATTAATACGGAGCACACTGTGCTGGTGTGAAGAAAGCATTTCAGCTGCATGACTACAGTAGTATGCCAGCAAGTCTACCAGACCTGGAAGCTGGAGAAAGGACACGGTGTTTGACATTGGGTCACTACTCAGCACAACCCTCTTCCAATTTACTCATCTTGGCATAGACTTAAAGCAGGCAGAGAATGATGCTTGTGCTTTTTGTGATGACCTGGACTGACATTTAGAATGCCCAAGTGCAGCTAAAGATAGAGGACCACTGTTCGCTTTGAACTGTTCTGCACGGTAAAGATAAAAAAAAGCAAAGTCCTGCATACATCTAGCATTCTCTCTGGTACTGAGCATAGGTTCAGAAAAACAACAGATAAATTGTTTGCTTTGGATAAAATTCTGGGACCACTTTAAAAAAAGAAGCTTGACTGTTAATCTGTCCTTGGAAAATATATTATTACTTTAAACAAAAAATGCATGAAGATCATCTTATTCTTCTGCCAGACATCTTAGTTGCCATCTCTCAACAGAACAAGGGCATTATATCACAGCTCTAAAACTGAGCAGGTTTTCAGTTTAATGCTTAAAAGCATACTTGCTTTTCAGAATTTGGGGTACAAGTATTAAGCATCACTGCAAAATTTTATTAATACTGTTCTGTATGCACACAGTTCTTATTTTGATATATCTGACCATGTAAGGTTGGAATTAGGAAAGCTAAAGCTTAGCCTGAATCTAGAAGAGGACATGAGGGGCAAGACGAGCTTCTACAGGCCCACTGGCAGGTTGTGGCATCTCTCTGAGGTTAATACAGGGACCGATTCTGATTAAAAAATTTATTAATAACCTGGGCAATAGGATGGGGTATACTCTCAGCAAGTTTGCAGTTGTTAGCAAAGGGGACTGCCACTGGTGTTCTAGACATAGAAAGCAGCTTTGAAGAAAAGGACTGAGGGTCAAGATGGATTACAAATTGAACACTGATCAGCAATGTACCCTTGAAATGATGAAGTCCAACATGCACTGGGCTGTATTAGAAATAAGGTAGGCAGTGGGTCCAAGGAGATGATTCTTGCCCTCTATTCATCATGTATAAGACTACATCTGGAATACTGTATCCAGTTGTGGATGCTCCAGTATATGAAAGATATTGGCACACTGGAGTGAATCCAGTGGAGGGGCACCAAGTTGGTCAGGGGTTGGAGTACCTAACGTATGAGTTGAAGCTGAGAGAACAGGGTTTGTTCAGTCTTAAGAGTAAAGCAGGAAGAGAACTTAACTGTTCAACTACCTTACGGGAGGATATAGAGAAGACAGACCCAGACTCTTCTCAGAGGTGCACAGTGAAAGGATGAGAGGCAAAAGACAAATTGTAACAACAGAAATCACAGTTAGATATCCGGATTTTTTTTTTTTTCTATAATGAGGATGGTCAAAGATTGGAACAGGCTGTAGAATTTGAGAAGCTGTGGACTGTCCATCCGTAGAGAGAGATGCACAATACTCAAATATAAGATAAGGTTGCTCCAGGCATTTAACTAAATTGGCCCTGCTTTTAGTGGAGATTTGGAATAAATTTCTTCAAAAGGTCCCTTCAACCTAAATTATTTTGTGCTCCTGTATTTTCCTTCTCTGCAGGGACCAGTCCCTACCTCACTCAATCTGCTTATAAACATATGATTTTGAAGATGAAAGGGATATCCAACCATAGCTCTGAGAATCAAAACTCAGATAGGATAGGGGCTGCATTGGAGACTGAAAGACACTTTGTTAAACCTGCCATCCAAAACAGTCTCAACCAATGTTGAGCTACAAGACTGATTATGTCTTCATCTACTTTGAACTGGGAAGTCATCTGGAGATTCAGGGGTATCAGCAGAGACAAGCAACAGACTTGAAAAAACTTGGCAAATAACAGTCAGCTTGTGAGCCCTTTGAAAGAAAAAATACGTGGTACTGATGTTGATGTTGAACTGGTCTTTCCAGTTCAAAAACAGTAAGGTTAAAGACATGTTCTGGCCTGGTACCAGCCCTGTTCAGACTGGACAGCCAGAGGGCAGAGGCACAAACACAGACTCCTCAATAGCCTCCTCAGAATCAGTCATTCTTTAATGGAAAGGGAATAGGAATCTCTTCCTCACACCAGACAGAGAGAAATCACTGGTGACCAATAGGAGTATCACCTTCACAAGTCCCACGTGACTACCAGTCACTTCTTTGCTAATGAAAAGACTTCGACTTTGAGTCCCTAAAACACTTATTTCACACCCCTCCTTAGCTCCATCACAGGTTAGCACTTTCATCTCAGACACTGGTTATTTTACTTCATGCAGCTACTTAAGTGCAATTCTTTTGAAAAAGTTCCTGCAGGATTTCTTTCTTACTTTTGTAGCTTTGCAGGAGCAAATCGGCTCTTGAATTCAACATCAGCTTCATCGGCTACAATGTCTTGGGAGCTGGTGCCACTGTTGCACACAAGATTGGCTGTACTTAGGCTTTCGCTGCTGTTGAAGTGGTCAGCATCAAAAATCAGTACTGCAAACTCTATCAGCAGTCACAGTACCTTCTTCCAATCGCAGACTCATGAGGAAACACATGCCAGAGTGAGAGCTAGTGATTCGTACTTGTTTATCTGGTCACAGTTTGCTGGATCCAAAGAGAATCAGATTGACCTCTCTAGCTTGAGTTAATTCTCAGGGCACGGAAGTCATGGAAGAAGTGACCTTTACACAGAGCACCTGTCTAGGACATAATTTTGTCTTGGGCAGAAGACAAGACAGAGTCTTTGGCCATTTGGTAGCAGGCCAGCCATGTGTCTAGTTTAGTCATTCCAAAACTATAAAGCTAATAAGAGAGCTGTGACCTAAGCAAAGGGAAGGGTCAGGGAATACCGTCTTACACTGGCACTCAGGATAAGTGGTATAGCTTCTAATCTGTTCTGCAGTGCAAGTGCCTCCTGACCAAAGCTCCTAACAAAGACATCGTAGCTCATGCACAACATGCTACACACCTCATTTTAACTTTCTATTAACCTTTTTTTGTGAGCTCAAGTGTATGGAAAAACCTTCTGTCATCATTATGTATGTGTAGAACACAAAGCTGCAAGGGTTGGAAAAGCACGCGTATACTCATCCTCTCTAAAATTCCTCATCTTAAGGCTATGGAGATGTTGAGGTCAGGAGTAAAGTGAGATTAAAAAAATTTTACTTGACTTAGGACAAATGCTAAGAAAATTATCTAATCACAGTTTTCAGTGCTAAAAATAATATAAATATAAAACTGCCGAAGATCTGGAAGTATGAGTAGAGAAGGGAAGTGTTTTGTCTAACTACTTTGTGCTTTTGGCTGCACTTTCAATTTAGTAAGTCCCCTTTTTCCTTTATAGTCAGAAGGTATTTTCTCATATTTGTTAGTCTTTCGCAGAACTATAGAAAGGAAACAAGGATCACATACCACAAGAATCTCCAGAAGAACCCAAGCCCCATGTTTGTCCCTGTGAATACCGTTTGCGTAAATAGTGCCCCTGTACTCTGAATTGCACACAGACAAGTCTTTTTAGGGTGGGACAGTAGTGTATGTATAGCATCGTACGCTATTAGCTCATGATCCTGGTCATTACTTGAGGGCAAAACTAAAGTAATAACATGTAATTAGCAAGACTTGTTATTGGAACTCATTATAATTTTTGAACTAAGGCTGCTTGAAAAAGAGGAAGCAATCAGGTCTAGCAGAATTCAAAATCCAGGAAAAAATTATCTGATGGAAAAGTCAGTAATATAAAAAGTAAATACAGAGTAAGTTATAGTTGACCTGAAAAGGAGAAAAATATATTTATACGTTTTAGGTCAGAAGTTAGTAGGGCAGAAGTTTAAAAGAAAAGGCACATATATAATGCCACGCAATAAAACAGGCTGTGACATGACAGCCATTAGCAAAACAGCTGAATTATTAAATAAAAAAATAACAAAACAGCTGAATTATAATAAATAAATAAATAAATGAAATTCAATAAAAATGCAGAAAGGGCAGGTTAGGGTATAAAGAGTAACAATACCCTCAAAAATCTCTAAATGTAACTGACTGCTTCTTGGACCAACTAGAAAGATATATTACTTTCAATGTAATACCTACTAGTTGGTGCAAGTAGTAACTATAGTTGACCCACAAAGCAATGGTGACCACAGTCTAATTACATTCAAAATCCTTGGGGGAAGAAAAATATGAAAATCCAGAGACATGTAACTAATAAAAAAATTTGAAAAACTGCAACAAACACATTCAACCTTAAAGGAAATCCTGGAAAAGATGGAAGCATGAGTACTTCTGAGCATGAGAGAGTCTTATTTAACAGACACCAAAAAGAAAGTTCATAGGCATTATCTCATAAATTTGCCTAATACAGGATTTGTGCAGCTTCCTCTACAGTGTCGGGAAAACAGTGACAGGGATGAGATGGGATTAAGCTGGACCACTAATTTCTGCCTATATGACAATCCTTATGTTTCAAATCAAAATGAAGAATTCGTAATGATTATAAAAAATACATCTACCTTAAAGAGAAAGCTTTATTAGGATACTGGAGAATTTCCATCATGAACTTTTTGATTTACAATTTAATTGATTTTGTTCTAGTATGAGAACTGGGAAATTGGGTAACTCTATACTTTCCCAGGAATGAACCAAAAGCTCTTTTCTAATCACTTCTAATCCAGCAAAGAGAATAATTCTGCTTTTCATATATTGATATCTTTCTTATTTATAATATAAATAACACATGTAACTTATTCTGAGCATTTGTTGGAGTCTTTTTGCTCCCCTTACATTTCACTGTGCACAGCATTTCAAAGTAAGTAAAACACAAAAATAACTTCTGGTTTGAAATTTCTTTAAATGCTGGACATATCTTAGTAGACAAAACTCACTGGTCATATCTGAATATACTTATTTGTATTTCTGAACTTACTGCAAGATAATCTGGGCCATATTTATTGTAAACAAACAAAAGCAATCCATTCAGTTGATCTGTTCTAAATTTGAATGAGATCTCAAATTCCGGTCCACCACTGAAAACATCTGAATGCAGTTCCAGGAACCCTTGAAAGAAAGTGAATACATGCATAAGTTTTATCAAATACACACATAAATAGGTTTCAGAAACCAAAAGCAAAAACCTAGGTGCTACTTTCTACTTTGACATGAACTCAGAGGTTTCAAGACTAAGGTTTACAACTTTATCACTCAGCTTTGTAGAGGACAGTTATCCATCATGTACCGCAACAAACCAAACTGGTGCAATGTCCTAAATTCTGCTACCTGGCATTTTTTTGACACATTATAGGCATCTGTGTCTCTTCAAAAGTGAAACTTCACCTTTTACATGCATATCAAATCTGCATACAGTTACAGCAGCAGCACCTGTCTGTGAATGCAATTCCTCTTTCATGCGGTAGTCTTCTGTAAACCCAGAAACCAAATTTTGAACCATTCAAAAATATTCCTATACAGCTAAAACTGCTTTGAAAAGCAGATCACTGCAATACTTTGGATACGATCACCTTTTATATATCTGGAACATACTTGGCTAGTGCAACCGCACAGCAAACTACCTTTGCCAAGAAACTGTGCTCCTTCTGAGAGGACAATGGGGCATCCTTCCCAAAAATGACAGACATTGTTTTGCTCTTCAGCATCCTGCCAGTTCAAAGATTCCCAGTTTTCAAAGGGAGTATGCACTTTTTTCAAAAATATGTCACTGAGACACCCCACAAATCCTTTCCGGACTATCACCTTCATCCCTGCAAAAAAGGAAAATATTTTTTTTAAGCCAATCACCTGCAACTAAACACAGGGATTGATTTATACGTTTTATACATGCTCACCCTATCTTATATGTCCATGTGTGCATTGATAACCAGCCAGCAATCACTTCATAAAGCTGGTCTCCAAGCTAAATCCAGATTTCTGAATGGGTCTAGTCACTAAAGACAGCAGCTACAGCTATGTAGCTGGAGAATATTAAACTTTTTGAGATTTTGCATACAGGTACTTTCAAATCAACAGCGTAAATCTACTCCATGAAGATTCCAAGGAAATTTTTCAGGTTTACCCTCTTTAAAAAAAACAATAATTGTGAAGAAAGGCAGGCATCTGCTGAGTAGGAAGAAACAGTGTTGCAAAAGCTAAGGCAGATGAATACATGTTTAGAAGCTTCATTGGGAAGTTCTTCTTTCCTTCTTTGGATAAAAAAAAAAAAAAGCGATTCATGGCCGCTATCTCTTTCTTTACTGGGGACAAAATTCTAAAGCAGGTTTTACAGACAGTGTTCTCTTGAATGGTATTTATAGTCAATCTCATTTTGATTATTTAGCTGAGGTTTTTGAGGGAGGCATCCTGGATTACTTTATGAACCAAAGTTTTAGAAGAACACATGCACGTATTTCTGGTTTTAGTAAAGCGACACAAAGAAAGATAGAGGAAGTTGTACTCCAGTGTACCTCACATCAAGTCATCAACTAGATTTCACATCCTTATCAGTGGTGGGAACGCAAACTTAATACAAACAATTTGGCTTTCAGGTTAATATGAAAACAACAAAAGCCTAGATATGAATCCACTGAGAACAGCTGATTGTATGCTGGTATTGTATGTAGTCACCTCCTCTCTGTTGTCTGCTGGTAGAATACACTTGGTAAATATACCAAGTTTATATATGAAGACATGTTTATTGATTTTTCTGAAAGCCAGCTACAATCCAGCTCCACATAAATATAGCTGTAGAATACAGATATATTCATACACCACTGAGTTCAATGCAACAATCCCTGAAGGATCCAAACTCACACCAAAAAAGGCCAGCATTTTGTATCCCTGCATCCAGGTGGGATGCATAACCCCGTGCTTAAGCTAATAAAAACAATTTGTATGTGTACTTTGGAAAAGAATTTGGGAATCTAGAATGTAAAACATACATATCCATAAGTTTCACATGCATACCAGTTAGTTCTGTGTATAAAATTCATTAAAATGTACACAGACCTCATACACTGCTTTACTGATGATGAAATCAGCCATATAGATATTTCAATCTATCCTGAAACATAAAATTCGAGAAACTGTACAGACTTATTTTTTATTAAAACAATTATGTAAATAATTATGCAAATTAAGTACTGTCCTCCTGTTTCTGACACAATGTCAATACAGCCCACAGTACCGCAAAGGCAGTTAACTCGGTGCCACTTACAGGATTTGTCGTATTATACAGACCACAATCATACTCACCTACATCCTTTCTTACAATAGTATAACCCTGTGGAAGTCCTCCAACAAAAACTCCCGTGTTCTCTCCAATAATGGTGCTGCCACTAGTTGCTAAGGAAGAACCTGAACAAAATAGGTCATTACTCGTGTTCAATAATTTCCACAGATTTTTTACTCAATAACAGAACATTGACATTTGAGAAAAGAGGCTAATGTAACACAATATCCTAATACTTGCCCATACATATCCTGGAAATATTCATAACTCTATTTTACAAAAGAATATTAACACAATCATAGAGTCACAAGCACAAAAAGACAAACTCCTCACACAGTATTAAATTACCAAAGATTCACAGTGGACAGATACCTCAGAATCACAGACAAAACAGTAGTGATTTTGTCAGAAAACTGAGTGAATTTTTTTGCTGTATGGATGAAGACAGGCAGTGGAAAAGTAAGCGAGTGAGCTTGCTTATATTACCCTGAGTAATACCAAAATAATGGCTTTAAACTAAAGGGGGGTAGATTTAGACTAGATATAAGGACGAAATTTTTTACGCTGAGGGTGGTGAAACACTGGCACAGGTTGCCCAGAGAAAAAAAAAGCGATTCATGGCCGCTATCTCTTTCTTTACTGGGGACAAAATTCTAAAGCAGGTTTTACAGACAGTGTTCTCTTGAATGGTATTTATAGTCAATCTCATTTTGATTATTTAGCTGAGGTTTTTGAGGGAGGCATCCTGGATTACTTTATGAACCAAAGTTTTAGAAGAACACATGCACGTATTTCTGGTTTTAGTAAAGCGACACAAAGAAAGATAGAGGAAGTTGTACTCCAGTGTACCTCACATCAAGTCATCAACTAGATTTCACATCCTTATCAGTGGTGGGAACGCAAACTTAATACAAACAATTTGGCTTTCAGGTTAATATGAAAACAACAAAAGCCTAGATATGAATCCACTGAGAACAGCTGATTGTATGCTGGTATTGTATGTAGTCACCTCCTCTCTGTTGTCTGCTGGTAGAATACACTTGGTAAATATACCAAGTTTATATATGAAGACATGTTTATTGATTTTTCTGAAAGCCAGCTACAATCCAGCTCCACATAAATATAGCTGTAGAATACAGATATATTCATACACCACTGAGTTCAATGCAACAATCCCTGAAGGATCCAAACTCACACCAAAAAAGGCCAGCATTTTGTATCCCTGCATCCAGGTGGGATGCATAACCCCGTGCTTAAGCTAATAAAAACAATTTGTATGTGTACTTTGGAAAAGAATTTGGGAATCTAGAATGTAAAACATACATATCCATAAGTTTCACATGCATACCAGTTAGTTCTGTGTATAAAATTCATTAAAATGTACACAGACCTCATACACTGCTTTACTGATGATGAAATCAGCCATATAGATATTTCAATCTATCCTGAAACATAAAATTCGAGAAACTGTACAGACTTATTTTTTATTAAAACAATTATGTAAATAATTATGCAAATTAAGTACTGTCCTCCTGTTTCTGACACAATGTCAATACAGCCCACAGTACCGCAAAGGCAGTTAACTCGGTGCCACTTACAGGATTTGTCGTATTATACAGACCACAATCATACTCACCTACATCCTTTCTTACAATAGTATAACCCTGTGGAAGTCCTCCAACAAAAACTCCCGTGTTCTCTCCAATAATGGTGCTGCCACTAGTTGCTAAGGAAGAACCTGAACAAAATAGGTCATTACTCGTGTTCAATAATTTCCACAGATTTTCAACTCAATAACAGAACATTGACATTTGAGAAAAGAGGCTAATGTAACACAATATCCTAATACTTGCCCATACATATCCTGGAAATATTCATAACTCTATTTTACAAAAGAATATTAACACAATCATAGAGTCACAAGCACAAAAAGACAAACTCCTCACACAGTATTAAATTACCAAAGATTCACAGTGGACAGATACCTCAGAATCACAGACAAAACAGTAGTGATTTTGTCAGAAAACTGAGTGAATTTTTTTGCTGTATGGATGAAGACAGGCAGTGGAAAAGTAAGCGAGTGAGCTTGCTTATATTACCCTGAGTAATACCAAAATAATGGCTTTAAACTAAAGGGGGGTAGATTTAGACTAGATATAAGGACGAAATTTTTTACGCTGAGGGTGGTGAAACACTGGCACAGGTTGCCCAGAGAGGTGGTGGATGCCCCATCCCTGGAAACATTCAAGGTCAGGTGGCTCTGGGCTCTGAGCAACCTGATCTGGTTGAAGATGTCCCTGCCCGGGGGTTGGACTAGATGACCTTTAGAGGTCCCTTCCAACTCAAACTATTCTATGCTTCTAATAAAGCAAAATGGAACTGGATTGATTACCTGTGTACTGCCCATCCACTGTGATGTTTCCCAGTGCTTGAATTCTTGTAGCAATTATTTGGTGCCAACTGTTATCGTTGTACTCTTTTCCACCATCATTAGTTGGAGTGACTGCTACCGCAGATCCCTTTTTATTAACAGAAGAATCTGATTTAGAATATTATGAAGGCAAGATTCAGAATTATACCTTACTCTTTATACCACTCTGTGGTATAAAACATCTAAAAATAAAGACAAAAGTCCTCTGTTTAACTTCTTTCAGAATACTGAATGATGTTTAGGACTGATTTCCCCACTAAATTAACCTTCTCAAATAATAAATGAGGGATCAAGGATCCAGTTCAGTTTCTATTAAAAATAGAAAACCCTGTGTAGTTCCCCTGACAAAGACGAGGATGAGGCACAAATTACTGAGGGTCATGTCACTTGGATTTTTTTATTTTTTATTTATTTTTTTAATGAAGTCTCTATTTAACTACTTCATGGATTGCTGTGGCTGTAAAGTTTGATGGCCATGATTCAATGTGCCATCCACAGAAAGGAACTGCGTATCAGGATTGCTGACTGCAGCGCCTGTCTACAGGAAGGGACCCAAACAATAGATGTATTTATAGGACAGCATGAAGATGCGTGTTCTGTCCCTGTTGACCTGGTATCAAAAGGACTTGAATTTTTTGGTGAGAGAGTATATTTATGAAGGAAAAGGTCATACCAAGAGATTCTGGGGAAAAAAAAAACAGAAGGTAGTTATTGAGGATGTTTTTACCGTACAAGGGGTGCTTGTAAAAATGTTTTTAAATTTAACTAGAATTTTTACCTTGTTTTATTAAAACAAAAAATATAATTATATGAGGGAGTGAATTTAGAGACATCCATGACAAAATGCAGAGATATCTTTTCTGAATTGCTGAATAAGAGGAATACAACAGATGCTGTTGCCAAGCCGAATTTCGAGACTGTAAACAACCAAACAAAATACCCCACAAAATCATACAATGATGCAATAAAATTCATGTGTTTCAAGAATTTTCCTGAGATTTATATCCAAATAGTCTTCTAACTCCCCAATAATTCCTATAATATTGCCTCAGGACCTTATACTGTACTTGAACCATGTGGGAACTCAAAGTTATTCTGCTGAATTCACAAAATAGAATTGTCCTATGTAGCAGGCAACTACTAAATGGAAAACATTTCTTTGCATAGGCACTACATAATATTAAAGAATCATGACCTCTGCAGTTACTTTATGGCTTAAGACAAGCTTCAAAAAAACAATTTCCAAAAAATAGGCAAAAGAAAAATAAAAGGTTCCTTATAATTTGGGGGTCTAGCTTGTTACTTTGCAGTAGCAAACCAGACAGTTCCGAATTTTGGTTTTTCCAGATCTTCTAGTGGTGGCTCAAGAACCTTAGAGTTACGCATATGAAGAAAACCTGTTGATAAAAACAACCACCTATTGTGATTAATACTAAAAAGGTCTTGTTAAAATTCAGTACTCTGCCTTTAGTGATGTGCATCTATTAGAAATTCCTTGTCAGCATACAGATTTATAAACACAGTATACATTTTACAGTACATTTTGAATTGGGGACTGTCACTGTGTATCCTATGTATGAAAAGATATAGGATGTGTACATACGTACACAGTTACGGAAAAAATAATTTCCCATGAATATTTACAGCACATTTCCTACTCCATTCAGCCAACATCTCGGTAGCGAGGCAGTTTGTACAGCAGCCCTCTGTCCCATGATAACAATACAAAGCTATATATCCTTACATACTAATGTGCACTTTTTCATATACTATTTTTTATTGTCTTCTCTCCTATTTCAACATTTTAATATTTTACAAACACACATTTCATTATCGTAGTTTAATAATTAAAACCAGAACTGGTGTCATGCCCAATTAATGTGCCCTGGTAGCATGCCCATTAGTTTTTCCATTAGTGAATTCAACAATACTAATGGGATTACTAGCATGGGATGCTAATTGGGCGTGACATAAGAAACTGGCTTACTTCTTAGCATACCCTTGCTAATGATGAAATTAATGAGCATTTTATTAAATGCTGTCTCATCAAAGTGTACTTAGTTAGCGTTAAAATTGTTACAAACGATGCTGCATTCTAAAGATCAGGTGCCTGAATAAGTGGTTCTTCATATTATGTTTGGCAACAGTCTAGAGCATTAACAGTTTTATACATCAGAAACCACATTTATTTGTAACCAATTCAATCTGGGACCACACAACCATATGTGCTAACCTGTGCTTAATTTCAGGAGAAAAAAAAGAAAAAAAAAAAAGACGGTGTTCAGGATTCAGCATGCACTGCATTGGAGGCCTTTGTACAACATTTTATCCAGAATCACTCGAGTGACTCTGTGATGGCATTCAAATAGCCTGTTGTGAAATGGCTTGTTATGCATTTTGGAAATTACTCATAGGGAACCAAATCTGGATTAGTTTGCTGAGCCACACAATAAGTTTTAATTTTTAGTAGCTTTCAGTAACAACTAAGTAAATATGAATCTCTGCGGCTCTTCATGATGATGATTACACTCATGAAAATATGTAGAAACATCACAAATATTGATCCTCAAAGATACTGTCTAGGTGCCAAAGTCTGAATGCAACTACACTTCTCCCAGTCAAGTTCTTCCAACACCCAAACTCCTATGACTGAGAAGGTGGACAAGTACTGAAGTTTTGCCAGTGCCAAGCAGCAAGGTATAGTCGGGGTTCATAGCTAGGTATTCTCCATCTCCCTTTTTTTGGGAGTAACAGCTCACCTTCAGACTGTGCCTACTACTTCGGCCTCTGCACAAACCACAGGCAACAAAAAAAAAAGTATCGAGTGTTCCGCCTTTTTTCTGTAAAGTTTAGTAAATGGATCATCTTCTAAAATGGAACAGCTGGATCCAATTCCCTCCATATTGTGAGAAGAATCCCGATACTCTATCCTCAGAAGACTGTCCTAATCACTAAGGAAAATGGTGCTCCAGATTGGCCTTAAATTTCCACTGTTAGTGATTTCACTTTGTATAAAATATTCAGTGCTTCCCTGGGAAAAAGATAGAACAAATGACCTGTAGCCACTGAAATATAACTATAAATTTAGCTAGAGTTGATTGTGTAGTTCAGGGGAGGATTTAAAGGCATTATGATGAAAAGAAACTCCACAGACAGCTGAAGGTTTGCAGACACAATGAGTTTGAAGGAAGGTCTATGGAACGATTTGATTATGCAGACAAGACTGAGGAAGACATCTGCTAGTAAAAAGACTCATGCTTTCTGGACCATGAGTAGAAACCTGCAAAGAATGACAATAAAACAATAAGGAAGGAAAAACGAGCAGCTAGACAACACAAAAGGGAGACAAAAGAGATCGTCAGACAACAGCTAGATGAATGGTGGTATACGTAAAATTGAGAGAAGTATGAATAGACAGGAAGAAAAGGATTTGAAATTAACACTAAGGGAAGGGAGAAGTTAGGCTGCTGAAGATTCCCCACTAAGAAGACTTGGCAGGACTATCCCCAGAACAGATACAACAAAGAGAAAATGCACTGCTGATCATGAGCAAAGATACGTACCAGAAACCTGAAAGGAACTAAGGGTAAAAATAATTAACCTGCGACAGGACACAGCTGGAAGGGAGCACAGAGTATTACACCATACTGCTATAGAAAAAAAGCAGCAGAGGCACAACTGTCATCAAAAAGAATTTTTGCAGCTTTTAAGAGAAGAGCACAGAGGCAGGGCCATAAATGCTTATCGTATATGCCACGACCATAATTAGAGAAAACAATGCATATAACCTGGTTAAGAAACCACATTATGTCAATAAGAAGTAATTAAAGCATTTGCACACTAATGCAAATTGTGATGCACAATTGAAGGATTAAGAATTGCTGCTAAAGAACATGATACCTGACGTTATAGGATAGGAATAGCAAATAATGGCAAAAAGAAAAAAGAAAGAAACTATGTAGAAAACATAGAAACAAAGGTAAAGATAGTAAGGTAGCACAGCATATTAAGGATACAGAAGACTGAAAAATTTTTATAACTGAATTATCACAGGTAAAAGTTTTAGAAAAAGATACTAAAAGAATTGTATTGGTGTAGGCCACGGTACCCTACTTCTGAATCGGAGAAGGCACAGGAATCTCTTCCATGTTTATTAATGAGAAATTAGAAAACATTAGCTTTCAAGAAATATCTATAGCAAATCAAATGTTAAGACCTACACTATTCCTGAATGCTTTGAATAAAAGATTGGGATTTTTTTTCTACAAACAGTCACTGAACCAGCAATATAGGCTATTTTAGACTTTGTAAGAGGAGGGAACAATATGGAAGTGATGGTCATAAAAATCAGCACGGGACAGAGTTGTCCCAAGCTGATTCAAATGAAACAAAAGATAAACAGAGATATATTCATAAACAAGTAATTTGTTAAAATTCAAGATAGTAACTCTTGAAAATATTGCTGAACTGAGAAGCTCTAGGGACTGAATATGGACAAGACCTGCATTTTTTACAGTTAAAAGATGGGGAAAAAAGGGATAAAAAGAAAAGCCCCAAACCAGTCACTCTTCCACCTGTCCCCTTTCCTCCCCATTCCCTAAATACTGTGAATCCAAACAAATACAACATCTAGGGAATGAGTCCAACCTAGCTGACATAAAGCTACTTCAGAAGGTGCAAATCTGCAAGGAGGGCTAGGAATACTATTTGAAGCACTAAAATACTAGTTGAAAGATATCCACTCCCATTAAAACAAACAACCAAAAAAAAAAGAATCAAACTATTACACCTAGAAGGATCATGCAAAGGAAATAAAAATTCCTTTTCAGTTAAGTGAAGGTAGCAGTGTAAAACAGGTAAAACAGAACTAGAACCTATTAAAATGTGGATGAGAGCAACATTAACAACAATGTTAAGCATGGTCCCAAAAATTGAAGTACACACTGATTCAGTTTGCAGCAAGGAAAAGAAGATATAGCCTGTGTATATATGCAGTGAAAATAATGGAAATGTGTATCTTGGGGACAGAAAGAGATTTAATGGTTTCTAGCACGGGGATCGCATACATGCTAGCCTCTGTGTAGCACCATGCCTCCTCTACAGATTCTCCAGAGCTGAGGAGGAGCTTCACTGCTGCACAACACCCCTGCACGTTCATGGAGCACCAGTGCATGGTGCCTGGACCATGGCAGAGCTCAGGAAGCAAAGGTTAACAGTGGATCGTCAAATCTCTAAATCCCCACCATTTCATACCATTAAGCGTTTCTGCTCAACCCCCCCGGAGCAGTAGACACAATCACATAATTAGACACTGAGGCGTGACGGAAGACAGGGCTGATATAGCGACCAGGCCTTCCAGCAACACGGAGGCAGCGGTAACCTTATGAAAAGGACGCATGTATATGGATACATACGATACCACATTCTGCCGGTATCATTAGAAAACCCGATAATTACTTACAGTTTCTTCTATACTTATGAAATATAAGTGAGTCCGTAATGCTTTTTTATTCCACGAGGAGATCCAATTTTGGGGTGCAGACAAAACAGAAAACACCCAAACAGAAATGCAAGGAATGTGGCCTTATTTTTAATTTTGTGGAATTTATTTGATAATATTTCCCTCATTATTTATGTCTTTGCTGTAGTCATTATTACTAGAAGTGAGAGACTACTTTCATCACGTTGATGGCAACACGCTGATTTCAGTAGGAAAAGACAAAGTCTCAAGACGGGAGGCTTAAAAATAATTGACTAAAAATAGACAACCTTTATTTGCTAATTCAAAAACTAGTTCTGCCCACCTTTGACATCTTGGTACTTTAAGCTGTAGTGGTGTTTGGTGGTACTGACAAAAAACCCCAACCCATAAAAATGCAAAAATGAAGTCGTGAATTGTGGCAAACACAAAAAAAGAGCAAAGCTTTTGTGTTTCTCTCCCCAAAATGTCCAGTTACCTAAGGGTTCTAAAGAGCCAGATAACTTGTATCAATTAAATAATAATAATTAAAAAAGGATAAGTATGTAAAGAAGTACTGAAAGAAATAACATACATTATTTTCATAGGATCCTGTCTTTTATTGTACCTGTGGATCAAAAAGAAAGTAAGGACGCCCACTCCTCAGTTGAAGTGCAATGTATTCCTCTTGATTCCCAGGTGATGCAGAGAAAAAAATCAAACCATCAGGTTCCCGGGTTCTAAATTTCACTTTAATACCTGGTTAGAAAAAGCAAGCAGATGGTTAATGCCAGAAATGGTTCTTATGCATTCTAACAGTGTAATTACAAAAAAAAAGTTGTTTTAAAAACAGCAGTAAAATAGCAAACCAAAATCATGGAAGTTTTGTTCACCTAAAACCCCTGCCAGTCATTGCAGGAGAAATTTTACTAATCCAGACTGAACCAGCCTTTGAGAGAAATGTCTGTGATTTCAGAGCCCTTACTCATCTGTAAAAAAAGACATGCAATTGTGACTTATGCTGTTCAGTAACTTCTTTCTTAAAAAAATGTAACTCATATTGGCATATACTATTCTAATAGTTGATGTTTTACGTGTAGATTTTCACTTGTCCCTTAACATTTCTATTCATAAAGTAGGAATGAGGTTCCTGCATGGAAGGATTTCTATGAAGAATAGTGCGGGTTTGGTTCCAAAAGACAGATATAGATATACAGATACATATATTTAATAAAGACAGATATCTAAGTGCACAAAGAACACCTGAAAAAGAACAAGTGTTAACAAAAATTGGACATATCTCAAGGAATAATTGATGAACTCGGCTTAATTAAGAACTTTCCAGATCATTATCGATAGTCCTCCATTTGGCTTCTGATAAAATATTGTCTCAGCACATGAAATGTCATTCAAATCACATACAAAAAAAAAAAAAAACAACTGCTTTTTTACATTACTTTTTACCACAAATAAAATATCAAAACAATGAACTAATTAAACAGCTTGTAAATATTAGAATATTGTTGTCCATGGTATAAAACTTACTCAGTAACTGTCTAAGGACACATTAATGAAACAATTCATAAATTATGTATCCAGTTTTGAGAAGTGTAATTATGAATAAACAAGTTTTGGATAACCACCAATCTTCTATGACTATAACACCTTTCTTTTAAGCTATCTCCTGGAACATCATCTTACAGAAACAAATAAGAAAATTACAAAACCATATGCCCAATTTGGCCCAACTTTTCTGACGTGCAAATCCAGATATCGCAGGTTGAGTCTATGGCGGAGCCATGCCTTTACTGTACTAATTTTTTTGCAAAGGGACACGAAAAGGCAGCCATAGCAACATCTACCTATATTATACACTTCCGTGACAATTCTGTGTAAAATTCTTTTTACAGAACAGGATAATTTATTGGGTTTTACCCAACTTCATCAAACTATTCAGCCTTTTCATACTGTCCTGGTTTTGGCTGGGATAGAGTTAATTTTCTTCCTAGTAGCCGGCATAGTGCTGTGTTTTGGATTTGGCATGAGAACGATGTGATAACACACTGATGTTTCAGTTGTTGCTAAGCAGTGTTTATACTAAGTCAAGGACTTTTCAGCTTCCCATGCCCTGCCACCGAGGAGGTGCACAAGAAGCTGCCTTTTCATACTGTCCTGGTTTTGGCTGGGATAGAGTTAATTTTCTTCCTAGTAGCCGGCATAGTGCTGTGTTTTGGATTTGGCATGAGAACGATGTGATAACACACTGATGTTTCAGTTGTTGCTAAGCAGTGTTTATACTAAGTCAAGGACTTTTCAGCTTCCCATGCCCTGCCACCGAGGAGGTGCACAAGAAGCTTGAGGGGGCACAGCCAGGACAGCTGACCCAAACTGGCCAGAGGATATTCCATACCATGTGACGTCATGCCCAGTATATAAGCTGGGGGGAGTTGGCCAGGGGGCAACAATCACTGCTCGGGGACTGGCTGGGCATTGGTAGGCAGGTGGTGAGCAATTTCATCATGCATCACTTGCTCTGTATATTCTTCTATTATTATTATTATTACTATTACTACCTTATTTTATTTCAGTTATTAAACGTTCTTATCTCAACCCATGAGTTTTCTCACTATCTTATGTCAGGCAGAAAACAATAAGTGACAATTTTTTTTCTTGTAGACAGCATCCATATTTAAAAAGATTAAAGAATTATAATTCTGATACACATTCACACTAGACCATGCTTGTGAATTACCTATACCCATAAGAAATATCCTTTGACCCCATTTCCTAATAACATAAATGTTTTCATGCACATCACATGATGCACTCACAGATATGAAACATATTCTCTAGGCAATGAAAATCAGTCACGCTATTAAAATACCTACAAAAAGCAGTTGTACACAAGTAACGCCCAGAAAGTAAAAAACTCAATAAATAGTGTCCATACACTTAAGGAAAAGCATAGCTTTGCCTGGCTCAGAAATAACCACTATTGCTGTACTTTGAGGTTCCAGATATTTCCAGCTGCAGTATCTGCTGGAGAGGGTGAGACTGATGGCCTCTAATCCCAGCACTGGAGAGCACAGTTAATTTAACAAGCTGCCAGTATTTTTATCAAGCTGCCAAAAGACATTTCTGAAGACCAGAGGATCCCTCCTCACACCTAATTCAGAAGGACAAACACAAACAAAATAATTGAGTTTCTGCAAAAGCACCATTATTTTATAATGTTGTGTTAGAAAATATAAATTAAATAGTTCATAACAGTAACATTGCAGTAATTCTAAAAGTTTCCAAATGCTATGCGGGAGCTTTCTTTCTTCTTTGGATATTGAAGAGGTTTACAAACTTTAATTCCTGCTCCCTAGCTTCATATAACGTATTGATGAGTCAGGAACCATCGTTTTCAGTAATAGCCCATACAGCAAATTCTTCTAAATTCATTTATCACCTATTACATAATTCAGAAAAGGACTCTGCCCCTTTAAGTTGAGGTATCTTTGGAGTTTCTCATGAGATAAGGAAGTTCGTATAAGCCAGCTCTAAAAAAGTACTTTCATACTTCAATAGTAATATTTTCTTGTATTTGTAGAAGTGAGTACAACGGGGAAACCAAATATTAAGTAAACTTTTGCCCCATCGATAATATTTTCACTGGAAATTTCACTTGTGAAATTAATATTTTTCACAGGAACATACTAATTAAAAAAAAAACCTGAAAAGATTCTCAAGTCCAGGTTGGACCTCATGGTCAAAACAAAACATAGCCAGGAATCCCATTCAGACTTGTAACAGCTAGGTGTATGTCATTTTTTTGCCTTATTGACACTGAGTACTGAGAATGGATCTTACTTAACCTGAACACAGAAACCTTTCCTTTGAAAATCTGAAAAGTTTCACAGAACTTAAAAAGCACATTTCTGGGGTAAAAAACAACAGGAAAGTCTACTACAAATCAAACATTAATGTATGTCATTCAAATAAAATCTTTAATTCCATTTCAGATTATAGCTGCAATTGGAGAAGCTGTCAGAATTCCTTTAATTATAAATAAAGAAATTTCTTCAATTTCTGTAATTGAATTTCTTTAATTATAATGGCATTGTACAAAACATAATACAAGTGTTGTATACAGTGAACATAAAAGACAAAAAGAAGAACACAGTAATAAAAGGACAAGTAGCATAAATTACTAATATTATTATTAATGTTTTAAAGTATCCCAAAGTGTGTTAGGGCAGACTCTACCCTTTTATAAGGATCTGCAGAGCTTCAGCTTATGCTGTAGTGGATTGTGATTGGATTTTTATCCTGGCTTCATAGCTGGCACATCCAGGTTAGTAGAGGAATGAGGATGTGAGTGGCCAATGTGGGCATTTTAAAGGCATTAAACTGAGCAGCAGTATCAGCACACTACCCTGCGAGGGCACACCGTTTTGAGAGTTCCTTTTAGTAACGGGCTGATATCAAAACGAAAAAGATATACTATTACAGTAATGTCAGATGAGTCAGAACACAGCTTTTTGTGGGTGCATATACATGAAATATACATGCATATACAGAAAATGCGTATGAAACAATGTTTATATCCCCTCCTTGCCTCCCTCATGTAAGGTTTGCAAGTCTGAACTTCAGCAACACTTCAGATTCAGACTCAGATTCATATCTGGATTCAGATTCTTCCGCCGCAATTCAACATAGCTTGCAAGATCTGCACAAAAGTATTTAACAGGCAAGAATATGCTCTTTAGAGGCTGACTGCATTTTTGCTTAAAGCAAGTTTACAGAGCACACGGAATTATTTTGAGTTTAGAAGAGCCAGTTGGTAGTCACGGGGGAAAAATGAACTAATTAGAGCAACTCCTAGATTAGCATAACATATACTAACAATTTATAATTATTAGAGCAATAAGACTAACTTCTGACTAACATTAAACATGTTTTCTTGCAAAATGAAAAGTTAAGAATAGGGGGGTTTGACCAAGAAACTTTATTCACCCAAACTAACGAGGTTTTACTTCCTGTGAAACACCTTTCCAATTTAACTGAGTTGAATGTAGTTTAAAAAAAAAGTCAGCATTTCAAAATACAACAACATTCAAAGTACTCAAAAAATGTCTTTTGACTTTTTAAAAGAGGGAACAATGTAGGCAGAGGGGCAAGGTAATAGAAGACATCTTTTACAATAACAGCTGAGAGATTTCAGCAGTGACCTACTTAAGAGTAATCCCTTTGTCCCATGCACTCAGCTTAAACACCTGTAAAGTACCTTTCTCTACAACTGGATGTTCAGGGTCCAGCTCAAAATAGCCAACAAATGTAAGTTATTAGACTCATTAAATACATAGAAGTTGCTACAAGTCTCAAAAGTCCCATGCCCCTTCACCAAAACCTATATATAACCACATGAACAAATCTGTCCAAAAGTGACAAGAAGAGCCATATCAATGTATTTCCAACCTGGATGCGGTCAGCAAGAAAACCGTTAGCTTAATTTTCACAAATACATCAAATACCAACCCATATGCATAAGATTAAAACGTAAGAATAATAACTAGGTACCCTAGCATATTATGAACATTTTCTTTGTGGACTTTGGAAATCATAAAAGGAAAACAGTGTACATTACAGTTGGAAAAAATAAAAAAACCAAACCTGCCGAATATCTGGAAAATCACAAAGCATTATTAGAAATGGATTTTGCATAATCTGTGAAGCACATCCATTTTCAGTGCAATTTCTCCCAGGATTGTACA